ATGTATATAGTGTTTTAATGAGTAAATATTTCAATTAATATTTTGCTTAAAGTTGCTCAGATTTTCAAATTACATGTCTTCTTTGCTGAATAAAAATGTATTTGGTTCAGGATTCATAAACACTAGAGATTTATTGATAGGAAAACTTGTCACTCAAGAATTTCCTGCAACTTTAATTTTCGATAATACTTTATATAATGAAAATAAAAATAATAGAGAAAGTAACACCAAAGATAGAATGTCTTTTGGAATAGAAGCAAAATCCTTGTTACAAAAAAAAGAAGATATAATCAATTAGTGTTATTATTATTAGATTACTTTTTAGGAATCATTGTCAAATTCTAGCTCATGAATCTTAAAATTTAGTATTAACTGGAGAAGAAAATGAAATTATTTGATATTCGGTTAGAACTAACTTTGTAGATTTATTCTTGTACAAACATTTTATTATTATTTTTTATGTTAGATAATATAAAACAATTTAATGAACTTTAATAAGTATCAATATATTAATTAACATTCTACAATTGTTACATGAAACTTAATTTTGTTAATCAATAAAAACCAAAAATAAACCAATCATGATGAAAGTCTACTATGCTACTGTATATAATAACTGAGACAAGTTGATTGGCCAATTTTGATATTGCACAAAAATATTGGTATAATTAGAGAAAATTTCATATCAATATTAATTAAATGTTTCAAAGATTGTATCGATATAGCTAATAAAGAAATTTATTAGAGTTTATCTGTATAAGCAGTACAATATAATAAGACTGGTTTGAGTAAATAAAAATTCATTAGTATAAGCAGTTATTGATATAAAGAATATCGATATAAAGAGGTTTGACTATATACAAGTTCTTCTTTTTTACTGAATGCTTCTTCATCAGAAGTATCTTCAATTGTAAGATAGTTTACACATTTGTTTTTCTTGATATATTGATTTTGTTAATAATATTGTTGGGAGGATATAGGTTTTTCAGATAAACAATTACAAGCAATGTATTTTACTTGGCCACACTTGAAACAAGTTTTTGTATCTCTTTGTAGTATATATGCTAATGGTAACCTGGAAGTATTAGACTTGTAATATGGTTTGCTCTTTCTTTCAACTTTGGTGAAAATATCTTCAATTTGGATTGCAGGTTTTAGATGTATCTTTTCAAACTTCTGGACAAGATTATTTATTGAATCTCGAGGAGTTTCTTTGTTTTTGAATCTAAAAGTCTTTTCTGGTTTGGATCTTGTGGATTGTTTATAACTAATAAGATCTTAATCATTTTCATATTGTTGAGTAAATTGTAATATGGCAGCAACATCTACAGATGTATTCATAGTCACAAGAAGAACAATTTTGAGTTCCAATTCTCTGAGAAAAAAGGCAAAGTTTTTGATGATCTGTCATGTTTTCTTTGAGATTCACATGTTTAATAAGTTTCTTGAAGTCTGTGTAATAGGAATACACAGATTTGGAGGGATCTTGTCTTCTTCCTTTTAAGTCTTTAAGTCATTTGTTTTGCTATCTTTGAGTACAGAATTTTTTTTTGAATGCTGCTTCAAGATCTTCTGGCCTATAGGAATCTCAGGTATAATCAGTTCCATTGGTATTAACATATTCAATCCA